GACTGCCTTCGGCTCAGGTCATGATCCTGGAGTCCCGGGATCGAGTCCCGCATCAGGCTCCCTGCTCAGCGGGGAGTCTGCTTCTCCCTCTGACCCTACCCCTCTCAAGCTCTCTCTCTCTCTCATTCTCTCTCTCAAATAAATAAATAAAATCTTTAAAAAAAAAAGAAAGAAAGTTAAGAGAACTAGTTAACAGCTGACCTACCCTAAAAGAATGGCTGAAGGAATTTAAACAGAAAGGATATGATAAAACAAAGAATCTTCATATACCAGGAAGAAATGAACATAGTAAACAAAAGTACAGGGAAATACAATAGGCTTTCCTTCTCCTCTTGAGTTTTCTACATTTAGTTTGATGATTGAAACACGAATTATAAACAGTCTGATGTGTTCCAAGAAAAAAAACAAAAAAAAAAAGCCAAAAATCCAAAGCAGAAAACTGAGGTATTGTTCTAAATTTTAAAAAGATCGTAAACAAATGTAATATATCTATGAGGGGAAAACAATTTTATAAAAGACATTTTTGGTAAAATTGAGAAAATTTAAGTATGGACTATATTTGGAATATTATTATATTCATGTTAGTCTTCCTAGGTGTGATAACAGAATTGTGGTTATGCGGGAGAATGTCATCATTTTTAGAAGATTTATGCTAAAGTATTTAGGGGTGAAGTATCACGACATTGAAACTTTCAAATTATTCAGCTAAAAAAAAGTGTGTGTGTGTGTGTGTGTGTGTGTGTGTGTGTGTATACAGAGAGAAAGAGAGAAAGGAGAAAGCAGATTAGGCAAAATGAATGAATCCAGGCAAATGCATATTGGTATTCATTATACCATTCTTTCAACTTTTCTGTAGGTTTGAAAATTTCCAAAATAAAAGTTAAAATTACGCTATTAGTAGAATGACTCTGAGTATGCATGTGCATGGTGACTGCAAGTGCATGCAGGCCTAAGCATGTGCACATACCACACACGCACACACGTACACACATTCCTAAGCATTCCAGAAGGACAAGCTGTTGCCTTCAGGGAACAATCTAGCTGGAACCTAAGTTGAAGACTAGGGTGCCTGTCTAAATATTTGAAGAAATCCAGAACATTCCCAAGGGATCCTTACCTGCCATATTTACAGCCTGTGTAAAAATATCATCCTGGGCGCTTCGTGTCCTGTTGTCTTCTTTAATGAACTCCAGGTATGGTACCGCCTCACTCAAGGTGGTGGGAGTCAGCAAGACATCCACTCCGGAGTTAAAAACATTCACAAAATCATTAGCAATGAGTCGTCTCACTTTCTGTGCCTTAATGAAATAATTCTCATAGTTTCTGTGGAAAAATAGGGGATATTTTAAGGATTTTTTAATTTCTTTGAATCAATTTTCACACATAAGGCTTGTGAAAGAATGACTGGATTCTTGACCTTTATAAGCAGGCACCACTAAGATTCCTAACAACACATATAAATGATTTTTGTTCAACTGTGCTGTTATTTCTAAAAATTTGTGTATCAGGAGTTTAATCAGAATTCACTGCTAGATACAATTCTACACATATAATCACAAAATAGTGATATCATTAAATAAGTGGATATCATCCATATCCAGGGATATCATTAAACCAGAACATTTATTTTCAGGTGAAAAAAAATCAAGTGCATAGCAATTAAATGACTTTCCAAAGGTTACAAAGACGGGCAGTGGTAAAGGAAAGACTAGAACTTAGGTCTTTGGAGGCTTATTCTAATCCTTCTTCTATTATAATGTCTTACTTCATCTGTAATATAATGATAACTCATTATTGTAAGGATTCTGAAGTTTTGCAGAATTCTAATATGCCATAATAATTAGACACTAGGAAACAGGCTCTGGAAACAGAAACTGGAGAAAGTATACGGTGTTTGCAATTTTGTATTTTATGGATAGGCATACCCCAAGAATGGAAATGTGAAATTCAAGGAAAGAGGCTCACTTTACTGAAGAGATTAAGGAACTAGCCACTTATAAAAGTGATTACAAGTCAATGATGCAAAGAAAAGGGAAAAAGAAGGCACTCTTTAGATCCTTCTGAAGTGGATACAAAGGCTAGCAAACGTGTTTTAAACTTCAGTTTCCTCACCTGTAAAAATGGATATAACTACTATAGTCTTATTGAGGACCAAATATAATAAAGATAAAAATGTGCTATCTTTTTTACTCTAAAAGCATCCTATAGAAATATCAAATGTCTTTACTATCGTTTGACCACAGGGTCGACAGAGAGAGAAATGCAGGTATCACCTATAATTTATACCACAATAACAGTTGATGGCTTAAATAATGTCATTAACAGCATTTCCCAAACCTCAATTTTATTCAAACACAAGCAAAAATTTGTTTTCTATTAAATTTCTTCCTACTTTAAATATGGTTCAAAACCACAACTTCTGCTTCCATTAATGATAGAGGGATGGAATTTACCCTGCCATAGTAAATAGTAACATACCCTAGTATTTACCCATAGTTATTTTCCCCGCTTTATTTTGCCCAGAAAGCTAGGCAAAATAAAGCAACCATTTTCAGATATTACAACAGGCATTCAAGAGAGAGAGTTCTGAGAGAAGGAAAGGAAGTAAGTGAGCCCTTTCATTTCCCCAGCGTAATGCCTGGAGGCAGTTTCCAGGCCTCAGCCCAGACAGGAGGAACCTAAACAGAATTTTCAGGAAGTTAGAGAAGGGGACTGGAAGTGCAGGGAGGCAAAGACGACTGGAATTTGCTCGCCGGGTACCGGAGAGGAGAAAATAGCACACAGAGCTCAAGAGATCTGCAGTGATCCCTCAGGTCTTTGGCTGAGTACTGACATGTGCACGTAGGGAGAAGACATTCTCAAGGCTGGGGAAAGAATCACTGAAAAGTCAAAAAACTGCAAGAGCTGATACAGGGCTAGAAAGTGTGTGTTCCTAATGGCCAAAGCGGGAAAGTCTTCATAATACGTGAGGCATCCGGCAAAATTTTTCAAGGGTATTGCCTAAAAAAATAATTGCCTAAAAAGCAAAGCTTTTTAAAAAGGAAGACTTGAGGGGCGCCTGGGTGGCTCAGTCGGGATCAAGCCCCACATCGGGCTCCTTGCTCAGCAGGGAGCCTGCTTCTCCTTCTGCTTGTGCGTGCTCTCTTTGTCAAATAAATAAAATCTTAAAAAAATAAAATAAAATAAAAAGGAAGCCTTGAAAGGATCCAACAGATTCTAAGTAACTTAACTGCATCCCAGAACAAAGCCCAGCACCGTTTAAAGGAATACAACAAAAATGCAGCTAATGACAATGTAAAAGTTGCCACGCCCAGCCATGCAAAAAAGCAGAAAATATAACCCATAACTAGGGGGTAAAAAGCAATCAATATAAAGAGATCCAGAAACAAGAGAAATTAGCAGAATTAGCAGAGAAGAACATTAAAACATGTATTTACTCCTATAAATATGTTCCATATGTTCAAGAAAGTAGAAGAAAACATGGTATCATGAAGAAATTGAAGAGATAAGAAGACCTACTTGGAAGTTCTAGGAATGAAAAATACAAAATAGGAAATAAAAATGAGACTGGATGCGATTGACAGCAGGTGACACAGCAGATCAGTGATTCTGAAGATAGTAACAGAAACTATCCAAAAGGAAGCGCAGAGAGAAGGACTAAAAAAGGAAAAAAACAAAAAAACAGGATGGAGCCATCAGTGCGCTGTGGGACAACATCAAGCAGATTAATGTACATATGAATGGAGTCCCAGAAGTGGGAGGTCAGAAAAAATATTTTAAGAAACAGTGGCCAAAACTTTTCCAAATTTGATTAAAATGGGCGTGGCAACTTTTACATTGTCATTTGCTGCATTTTTGTTGTATTCCTTTAAACGGTACTGGGCTTTGTTCTGGGATGTAGTTAAGTTACTTAGAATCTGTTGGATCCTTACAAAGCTTCCTTTTTAAAAAGCTTTGCAAGGATGTGTCTAAAATGGCCTTTCGTCTAGGCTAATTTAACTCTACTTTAGGCAATATGATTAAAATGATAAACCCACAGACACAAGAAGCTCAACAAACCCCTAAGCAAGAAGAAATATGCAGAAAACCACACGAAGACACATCACAGTCAAATTCCTGAAAACCAATGATAAAGTCTTAATATCAGCTGGGGGGGCGGGGAAGACATGTTATACACAGAGGAACAAAGACAAGAATGACAATAGACTTCTCAGAAACTATGCAAGTCAGGAGGCAACAGAACAAGATCTTTAAGGTATTGAAAGAAAAACCATCAATCTAGAATTTGATATCCAGAGAAGATATCAAAATTAAAGGTAAAATAAAGACTTTTACATATAAACAAAAGCTGAAAGAATTCATTGCCAGCAGGATTGTACTACAAGAAATATTAAAGTTCTTTAGGGAGAAAGAAAATTACACCAGATGGATATTTGGATCTATACAAAGGAATAAAAAGCACCAGAAATAGCAAATATCTGGACATATATACATGACTTTTTTTCTTGTTTTAAATCTCTTTAAGAGAAAAGTTATTATTTAAAGAAAAAATAAAAGAAGACAGGAAAAGAGGTTAAAAGAAAGAACAGATAGGACAAATTGAAGACAAACAGTAAAAATCAGATTTAAATGTGGCTCAAATGTAATTATGTTCATTAAAAATAAACTGTGGATTCCTAATTCAATTAATTTGTGTTTTTTGAACAAAAGGTAGTAGAAGAATGACAAAATTATAAACTGAGGTACCACATGAAGAAAAAAAAAATGTTAGGAGTTGTTATAGTTCCTGGCACATAAATTGACTTTGTAAGACTAAAAAAAAAGTATACCCAAATTCCATTTTTCCTATCACTCATGTCTATCCTCCCCTCACAAAACAAATGAAAGCAAAAAAAACCCCTCAAAACAAAAAAGCTGACTTAAGTTCCCCGACTCAGAGACAGGGAGGCCAGCAGAAATTCTCACTTCTTTTGTCAATACCTCCAACCGGTGACCATGGAGAAGCTTTCAGACTCCTCTCCTTCAGTTTCTTTATATGCTGTTACAGTGACCTAGATAGTCTATCAACTTGTGCCCTGAGATACACAATTTGATTCTGATCAGTTATATTTGGCAAATGTAACATCTTCCACTTAATGAAAGTCTTTGCTTAGAAAACCTCTCAGCAACATTTCATTTTCTTTTCCTACTCCAAAATCATTACAATCATCGGTCAAAATAGAAGAGTCTTTTATTTTTTTAAAGTTTTTATTTTAATTCCAGTTAATTACCATACAGTGTAGAATATAGTGATTCAACAATTCCATACATCACCCGGTGCTCAGGTGCTCATCATAAGTGCACTCCTTAATCCCCATCACCTATTTAACCCATCCCCCCAACTACCTCCCCTCTGGTAACTATCAGTTTGTTCTCTATAGTTAAGAGCCTGTTTCTTGGTTTGCCTCTCTCTCCCCCCTGCCCCACCCCTTGCTCATTTGTTTTGTTTCTTAAATTCCACATGAGTGAAATCATATGGTATTTGTCTTTCTCTGACTGACTGCTTTCACACAGCATAATACTCTCTAGCTCCATTCATGTCATTGCAAATGGCAAGATTTCATTCTTTTTTATGGCTGAATAATATTCCACTGTGTGTATATATATA